CAGTATACACACTTTTGGGTGTTATTGAAATAAATTAAAAATAATAATTTTAAAGTTATTATTTTTTAAAAAGATATTTTATATTAAATTTAGATGACCACTTTCATCAAAATTAAAGTTCAGGGTAAGTTTCCTGGCCTTTGAATATTAATAATAATCATCACATTTCAAATCGTGAAATAAATACTGGTGTGATAATTTTGCTGTTTGTAATTCTTTACAGATGATTGCATAATGTATTCAGTTTCAGATTTCAACATTTTATAAAGCACAAGAGCAGCTGTTACTAGAAGTTTAGCCATGTGTAAAATAAAAGTGTTTCATATTTCTAATATGACATTATAATATAAGTATATATACTGGTCACACTGCTTGTGTCCTTGAGCAGACACTTTATCTGCATTTGCCTCTCTTCACGCAGGAGTATAAATGGGTACCTGGTAGGAGGTGAATGATTCGGAATGAAATTGTAGTTCTGAATTCTAAAAATCTAAATATAGAAATTAATATAGGCCTGGGGCCTTTTGGCAATGGATACAAAGCGCTTGGATATGTAGAAACCCGATCAATAACTTTCTTCTACCCTAAGGGTCCCTCCGTGTCTTGCAACCCTTGCCCTTTTTGGACCTTAGTACACTATATGTAATTACTTTTATTTACCCATTATTGTCAACAGCGGCATTATGAACAAAATTTTCAGCAGCAATCTTCATCAGGTTCTAGAAAATAAAATGAACACAGTAATACATATCAAAACTTTTTGGAAGAAAAAAGTAAATACTGTATATGCTATGCCTAATTTCAAGTAAAAGTGTTTTGCCTATGCTATAGTATTGTATAGTATTGCATTAAATTTATAGATTTATTAAAATAATCATTTATTTAAGTGCTATTTAATTAGGTATAATTAACCGAAGGCAAATATATCATTGTTATAACATGACTGATGATAAGACTCCACTGTCAAATTTTGTTTTAATAAATCATTCATATTATTAAACAGAGCTTTTTTTTAGAAAAAGCATTGAGTGAGTTAGGCATGCTTCTAGTAGTGATGTTTTTGTGCAATTTGTATGGCATGCTATTTGTACGTAATAATCTGGCAAATTTCACCTCAATAACAAAAAGTACAGTACAAGTAAAAATAAAAAGTTAGCGGCCACTATTAAGTTGTGTTAGGCTAGGCTTGTAGGCCTACCAAAATGAAAACTTTACGTACGCCTACGCCGTTTAAATCGAAGATTTACCTGGCCCAGCCTGCCCTAACTAGGGCCTAGGCCTAGGGCTAGGCCTAATTTAACTTACACTAAGCGACTTGTTAAGTTGGGGTATATCAGCTTTAACGTTTGAAATTGGATTATTGTCTTGTTGACTTTGTTGAGAACTATGATGGGTGGAGCTATGAGCAGGCTGCTGGACGCCAGGGGCAACAGCAGGAGCCCCAGCAGAACCAGGGTTAGTTATTCCGACGCCTGGTTGAACGGCCGCCATGACACAGTAGTAGTAGTACTACTGTAAGTGAAGTAGCCAACTTATTTTGTTTGAGCTAGGTGGTCTACTACGATTTTTAATGTATAAATAGTTATTATTTAATCCGTTAAAATATGAGGTATATGTATAAGGTAATTAAAATTAATTTTAATTAATTTTATATATAAATATCTTTAAATGATTATATTTAAAATATTTATGAACTATTAAGTATATTTTTTCCGTGCCCCTAACTTGATAAAGATATGTGCGCATGTTTGCTAAGTGAATCCTAGGTCCCTAGGCCTAGCGAGTGATGAGTTATTTTTTCAGAATACTACTAATTGTTGGCCTTTTTGTTGATATCATCAGTAACTAAAGAAAATCCAAATATGCCACCAACAATCCAAAGTGGTAAAAGACTGGACGCAGATAGAAGGTAGGATGAAATTTAACTAGGCTAGGCCTAGCCTTGGCTACATCTGCTGTCGCGGATGGGCCTCGTCGTAGTGTAGGCAGTCCTAGGCTACTGTAGCTCTAGGCTAGGCCTAGTTTGCTAGACCTATATTTTATCAAGTCGATATTACTAAATTATATAATTTTTAATTACTCCCCTTTTCTTTTAAATGCCATTAATGTTTTTTATAGCAATTTTATTCAATGTAAAAAAGGTTCAGATACAGTAATTAACAGTAAGCCATGCCATGCCATTAATAATAAAAATATTATTATTAATATAGGCACTGAATAGGAATACAGTGAGTGTCCCTAGCTGTTTTGCCACCCCTAACCTTCTTTTTCATTACTGAGATAGCCTATGGTACTGTTACTGCTAGATAGATCGTTAATAATATTTTACATTCCATGCTTTTTATCTCCTTTTTAGACCACGATCATCTGGACCCCCAAAGTAAGTACTATTTCAAATGCTATTTTTGAACTTTGATTTCTTGTGTTAATAGTCAATCTTGTCCCAAATTTGAATTGTTTTTATACCGCTCTTTTTGACTTGTTTCTGGTGGATTCTTCATCCATCACGATTTTGGCAAAGCACTTTGTTTACAGTTAGTGCTTAACACCTTGTAAAAAGAAGTTACTTTCAGAAAATGGTGCAAACTTTAATGGGTGGTTGGAGCATGCATCATTTAACTTTGATTTAGAATGAAAAAAATTGATGATGAGAATGTATTGTATTGTACGCTGAGGCTAGGTCATCATCAATTCTATTTTCAGAGAATTCCTTGCACAGCTGAGTTGTTGCAGTTGTGTAAGATTTTCTGTGCACAGTTCTTGCATAGTTTGACACTGCCATTGTTTAAATAAGTTTTGTAACCTACTCCGTGTACAGGCACCAACACCATATGCTTATATTATTTAGAGACCCATGTTTCAGCAATTTTTAAAAATATTGTCTGCCTAAAATGGTCCATGCACATTCACATTTAAAATTTCTGACACATGATATAATTTGATATGGAAGTTCATTGACAAATTTCCTTTTTAAGATTTAAGAATTTCAATTTTCAAAGAAAATTTCTTTTCGCAGTTTCTGTGTCGGTAATATGGCAAGGAATATATTTGTTTATTTAAATTTTTAATATAAAACTAATAATTTACAAATTAAAAACTAATAATTTACAAATTAAGTAATTTAAATTGCATTTTTATCATTTTTTTTAAAAGTTTAACACAGAAAGCATGCAGTATCTTTTACTGGAGTATAATTGGATTATTTTTATTGGATAATTTAGTGCTATGTACAGTACACAACACAACCATAACTTATGGCAATGTATTTACTATTTTTCAGATCTGATTTGGTTTGTAGGCCAAAATACACAAACAATCTTCCAGACATTCCCTTTGACCCAAAGTTCATCACCTACCCGTTTGAGGCCAACAGATTTGTTCAGTACAATGCAACGTCGCTAGAACGAACATTCAAGCATGAACTTTTGGCAGAACATGACCTTGGGGTCACAATTGATCTCATCAATCCAGACACATACAGTATTGATCCAAATGGTATGACTTGTAGGATGCACTTAGGGAGCAGCTTAGCTCAGTCGGCTAATCTAGTGGTAGTCACTGTGTGTGCGCTGAACCGTGGAGATCTCTAGGTCCCCGGTTCAATTCCCATCACTGCCTCTCCTTGTGTTTCAGCTGGAGGGCTCAAATACAAGTTACTATAGCACACCGTCTGTCAGATGAGACATTTATGCCTGTGTGCATTAACGGAAAAGGGTAGGGGATTGTCTCACAGTGTACTGCCCATTCACCACCATGAAGGACCCCACTGGAAATAAGTCTTCTTCTAGACTTTCGTGGGCTATCCTTGGTGTTTACACCGAATAAGTCCAATCCAATCCAATCCAATGCTCAGTCCTAATGTTTTGTATATATACTTCAATAAAGTGATTTGTTTGTGCACCTATAATATATATGTTATTTCTTAAATTAAGCAGCCCCTACTCTTCTTCCTGTATTGAAATTACATTGTCTTTTGTCAAATATATGAACAAAATTATTATAAGTCATTTTATTCCAGTCAGGTTGTTTCAGTAGTAAAAAATAGCTGTGTATTCTTTGATTATGGGTTGATTTATTTTTTCTACTAGTAACATTGGATCCTGCTGACGAAAGACTCCTTGAGGAGGACATATCAACTCCTGGCGATTCTAAACGGTAAGGGTTTTGAATTTCCTACAGTATTCAAGCATGTCTCTCATTTCATATAAATTTTTTCCTAAGGTGAACAACTTAGCATTTCAGACCAGATTTTAAAAATGCTCCCCGACCAATCAGCTGGTTCATTGTAACACTGCTACAGCATTTAATATTCACTTTACTGTACAATGATTTTATAAATTTAAATGTTTACACTGGTACTTGCAATTTACAAGATACATAATGTTAAATAGTGCAGTTGGAATGGCTGAATTTTTCTAAGGAGTAAAACTTTTATTCTCTGAAATATTTGTTTACAGTATTTCACCCTTGCATGTTACTTTACATAGAATGTAACATTTTATTATATTGAGCATAATCTTTGTTTTGTTTGTACAGGTCAAAACAACACAGTAAGATGGTGTCATGGTTGCGGAAAACAGAGTACATATCCAGTGAATATAACAGATCTCAGCATAGAAGTGATAAGGTTGAAACCAAGCAAGTATACGTATTGCTTCATTACCATGTTTGTGTTTTTTGGAATGTGTTAGTAATAATCAGCATGTGCAGGTTGATAATCTCAGCAGTATCATCACAATTTTTTATTATTGTTTTTATTATTAGTGGCATCATAACCATTATATCATCATTATCAACATCATCATTATCATATCAATCGTCACCATCTTCATTGGCTTATCATCATCACCACTTTCATGGTCTTCATCATGATCACCATCCATATTGTCTTCATCATCATAATCATCTTTGCTGTCATCATCATCATTATCCTCTTCAACATCTTCATTGTAATCATCACCATTGTCATCACCTTTTAAGCATTGACATGATTATCATCATTATAATCATCATTACTATCATAATTATCATCACAATCATTGTCTTCCAAATATTAATTATGAACATCATACTCTAATGATATCATCATTACCCATCATCCTGCTCAAAGTGAAGTGTATATGCCTTGTTATGATCATTTAGTAATTATTATTATTATCATCATCATCTTTGTCTTGACACTGTCTGTTTATCCTCATAATATTCATTAACCATGATTATTATCAAGAGGTTTTCAAATGAGGAAAGTGTGGAAAAGTACTGTAAACTCATGTTACTATTTATTTTTATTTGCAGAGTTGCATACAGTTTAAAAAAGCAATTCACAGAAGAAGATATATATAAGGTGATTATTATACTAGTTCATGTAATATTAAAATTAGTTAGCAAAAGAAAATATAGTCATATATTTTGTTGATACTGAATTTGTAACACTAATTATTTTTATCATTATAACATGTTCATCATTTACAGGACAGAGAAAGTCAGCTACAAGCAATTGAAAAAACATTTAATGATGCCAAAATACCTGTAAGTGCTCAGGACATTCTAAATATGGTTTGAAATATACTTTTTAATTTATAAATATTTATATAGAGGAGTAGCAGTTTGTTTATTGATTATTATTAGCGCAAGTTGTTTGTAATTATCAATTCAAGCCAAACTTTGACATTTTACAAAGTGTGAAGTGGGAGGGGCAGGAAGAACGTGAATAGTAAGCAATTGTATATAGGCATAGAAATTTTAAAAAAGTTTTAAGCTTTTGTTTTCAAATTTCCAATTGTATGTTTTATATAATTTAGATAATAAAAGTTTTAGAAATTTGAATTTTTGAATTTTTGGGACATAGTAGAAATTTGTTTATAATTAAAAACTATTAAATTTTTTTTTAAAGATGAAAGATATGTAATATTGCAATGTATATATTTGTATATGCAGTTGAATTCTGTTTTATGTTATTTGTAGATTAATAAGCACTACAGCAAGCCACATGTATCACCTGTAGAAGTTATGCCAATATACCCAGATTTCAAGGTAAGCTGGTTATATGTAATGATATTTAACGATGGTATAATTTAAGCCTGAAAATTGCCTAATAATTATTAGTTCAGCTCAACATTACTGATGAGCTGGATTAGGAGCCCTCTTGTACCAATACTATTATTTTATTCCCTACAAATAACATTAACTACATTGTCTAAGGTGAATTAACCAGCTTGCAAGCTACAGCGATTTTAATTGCTTTTGTGAATCCTTGCCTCTTTAGGTTTACGCTTTTCTGTAATTTAAGTTTTTGTTACTTGTATTTTGACTTTTTTTAAATGCTAATTAAGTAATAAATGAATGAATGTACAATAAAATAAATAATTAAACAATAACATGAAATAAATTATGGATAATAACCTATTAAGCTGATAATAGGCTGCTTTATCATTGGTTAATGTTGCTTTTAAATATAATCTGTTATTTTTTCTTTTATAAGCTATGGGCTAACCCCTGTGCACAGGTCATCTTTGACTTTGATCCAGCACCGAAAGGAAAAACAGTTGCTGTACAAGTTGAAGAAATGTCACAGGCGATGATCAGGTAATTACAACACATAATTATTTATGCTATAGTAACAGTAGTAGCAGCAAAGGCAGTAAGTGCAAGCAGCAGCAAAGGCAGTAGAGATTGAGGTTTATTGATAATAAAAATTATAGAATGTTTGTATATTTTGATAGATAAAAGTTAGTCACTGTGGCTTTAGCTTTGAAATAGTGTATCAGAAGTAATAAGGAAAATGCAATTTGTAAAAGCTGATTTAACATTGATTGATTGATTAATTGTAGCACTCCAATACAATGGAACTTAATGGAGTTTAAATCAAACTTAGCAACTGACTATTTTATAACAGAGCTAGGAATACGTGCATGTCCTACAGACACAGTGTGTCCCACAAACACACGTGTGCTTATGCTTTTACACTGTCACTTTTTGGACCTTAGCAGCAATATCCAAGGAACTGGGCTTAGCTGAAAAGTCCATTTGTCAGATCATTTTTAAAGATAGCTGTAGCCCATGTAAATGAATCTAGTAAAGTGTTCCACTAGATTGGCCATCAAGAAGCATTGCATTGAATTATTTAGACATTATACTCTACTTTTATTTCTTTCCAAACAGAGGTATGGTTGATGAGAGTGGAGATCAATTTGTAGGATACTTCTTACCTTCGGAGGAAACACTTAGGAAAAGGAAGCGAGATACCGAGGAAGGGGTGGAATATTCTCCCGATGATGAGTAAGTACCAAGACAACTTAGGTAAACTCTGAGAGGTGATTATAGGATGCTATATTAAAAGCCTATATATTATTTATTACTGTTGAATAATATGTTGATATACATACATACTGTATATTATTATATAATTTAACATACTGTACAATCATATGCTTGTCTTCTTCTTATATAACATACTTAAGTTGCATACTTATGTAATGATTGTGTTTCAATGCACTGTACTTTTAAAGGTATGAGTATAAGATGGCTAGAGAATACAATTGGAACGTTAAAAACAAAACAAGCCGGGGCTACGAGGAGAACTATTTCTTTGTATTTCGAAAAGGAGAGGGTGTTTTCTACAATGAACTAGAAACCAGGTAAGAGTGTATGTATATATTGAAGCATGGAGGATGTAGTCTTTAGGCTTTTTAATTCAAAGGTCATGAGTTCAGATATGAGGCTGACCCTATGTAACATGTTTGCACTAAACCTGGAAACAGTTGCAAATTAGCATTGGGAGGTCAAAGGGTTAAATGATTGATTATTAATAATATTCGATAGAATAGATAACTGATCAATTTAAAAATATTTACTAATTTTTAATTAAATGATCAATAGGGTACGATTAAGTAAAAGAAGAGCAAAAGAAACAGTTTCTTCCGGGTCATCGGTTCTTGTTGTTAAACATCGGGAGCAATCGGAACAAGAGTTGGTAGCACAGGTGAGACGGCCAATCATCATCTTCATTCTCATTCTTCTTATATTTTATTTACAAAGTATCTGTCTGTTTTATATTTTATTTATTTATTTATTTTGTTTGAAAATGGTAGCATTGTCTAAACATAATTTAAGTCTACATACACTAATTGAAATGTATGATATACTGTAATCATCATCATCTTTTTGATAATGATTGGTATCATCTTCAGTATCAATATCATGATCATTGTCATCCTCATCATCACCATCATTATTTACATCAGTTTTACTGTATTGATTGATCTCCATTTCCTCCGTCTCTTATGGGAAGGAGGGCCAACTTCATATATGGAGGCTTTGGCCTGAAATGACAGGGACTGTGAGATGAATCATTAATTATCATGAAAGGTGTACTGGTTCTTTATAGTGCACATAAGCCAATCGTGTACACTTCGCCTACAGTTTATAGTCCTTGTCCGAGAAGAATTGTTCTACCACAAGAACCATGGCTCAGCGTGCCGCTCGAACCAGCACTGGTGTTGTGGGGCCCCTGCCTTAACTGCTCGGCCATGTACATTCCTGATTAATATTAAATTTATTTAAGGCCAAATTAAAAAAATACTAGTTTCTCATCCCCTCGCGCATCTATTTTCTCTGCCTCACCAGATACATATGGGGATACATATGGTGCTTCTTTTTTTGCTTTCAATGTGTCTAATTGGTAAAAGTGAGAAAGTAGTAGCTGTTTCTCATTGACCATCTTGGATTTGCCATTTGCCAAAAAAAAAGTTCCCTCATTCTCCTGTTTTCAAAATATTTAGGATGAGAAACTATGTGGCCTAATATGATGATACTAATAACAGTATTGATGCCACCGTTTTTATAGCCTTGGACTTCTTGATTTGATGTTGCACTTGCTTTTCTTGTACATCTATAGAGTGCAAGGTTAACACAACTTGATAACCAAGTGCAAGAAGAGGAGGAAGAAGAAGAGGAGGAGGAAGAAATGGTAGAAGCAACAGCAGAGGATGAAGAGATGGAAGATGCTGAGAAGGAAGAAGGAGAGGGAGAAGGGAGTGATGACGAGAATCAGAATGAAGGGAATGAACGAGTATCGGGTAAGTTTTTTTTAAAAATTAAGTTTAATGTAAGATGCGAACTGTTATAGTTATTGAAATTATTACGTTATTTGATGATGTTTTTTGCATCAGGAGATTTAATATAAATGATGCAAGTATTTGGGAACCTACTAAGCATTCAGTACGATAACACATCAGGAAGGGCAAAACATAAAACCTAATAAATATCCTCATGCAAAAACACATCGTTGAATAGCATAGCAGCATTGGGGATCAGATTCAACATGAGTCACTAAGCACAAGCTATGTGGGCTAGTGGTTAGGACACCAGGTTAATTATCTAGAGGTCATGGGTTTGAAGATTTTTTTTCAAGTACTTGGGAACGTACTGACCACTCAGTACTATAACACACACATGCAGGTAGGGCAAAACATGATCCACACAATTTCAAAATTTTTCCTAATATTAATGGTTTCACAATTTTGCTTAATGTATACTTGATGTTAGAATCTTTTACTATTTGTATTTATATTGCAGGTGGGAGTGATGAAGAAAAAGAGGAGAGTGGAGAAGAAGATGCACAAAATGCAGAGGAAAGTGACAAAGAGGAGAGTGAGAATGAAGAAAAGGAAGCTAGCGAACACGAGGAGGAAGCTGGGGAGGAGGATGAGGAGGACGAGAGGGAAAGGAGGGAAGAAAAAGACGAAGAAGAAATCTTTGGAAGTGCAAGTGACAAGAGTGATAATGAAGCTGTGTCGAGCGAAGAAAGTGATTAATATTTTTTTACGCTGTTTGTTGATTCCATATGTGGTCTTAGCATTTACACTTACATGTGTGATGATCATTAAGGATTGGTGCATAGATACATCAAACACTTTAAACATCATGCTTCTTCCATGGATGAGCATTACATTTTCAGCATTGTGAGATTTGAGATTTTCATGGGGTTTCACAACAATGTGCGTAATAGTTATTACCAATGGCATAATTCCATAAGCTCCTAGGCAGAAAGCCCCGGTTCACCACTCCAGAATGGCAGAGAGGAGATCAAATCCTAGCCAGAACCCAGTGTTAGTTGACTGTTTGAATATAAGTAAAACTATTGATGGCGCTTCAAAGAATCTTCGACCAATAACAAATACCAAAAAATATCAAATGAATGACGATTATTTTGTAAAAACCAAAGTTGATTTATGGTTGAATACTCAATAGTTGAATACTTTAAATGATCTTTTCAGTCGTTTTTTTTAGTTGGGACGTTATCCACACTTCGGGACTTCATGAGCGAAAATATTTTACTGACATATAGCCCCCGTCATTTTCTCTCCCCCGAGCCCCATAACTCGTTGTTACACCTCTGATCTTTACAGGCATTATTAAAATCTCACTGAATCATGGATGTACAATCTAATAGAAACAAAATTGAAGTAGAGATAGCCCCAGTTATTGATAATTCCTAACATTATTGTATAATCTATTATCTATATATTTAGTTATGTTAATAATAATAAAAATACTAATATATATATATTCCTGCCTGAACCTTTTTTTATACACCTGATAAGAAAGATTTTCATTGAAGGACAATGCTACTCTCCCCTTTGTACCCCTAGTTAAGGGGAAAGGTGTTACACAGCAGAGTGCTTAGCCCCAACTTTGTAGTAATGGACTAATAAAATGCTTTCTTTACTCTATGATATAACTAATGATGGTAAAGTCAGCATTGCTAAAAGCTGTAGATGACAGCATGTAGCGATTCTATGGAAACCAAGCTTAAGGGCTGTTGATGTGGTAAAAATGTGTAGAACTTTCTTTAGTCTAAAAATGCTACCAACGTTTAATATATTTGTTTATTTTATTATTTAACACACTTTTGTAAGTACTGCACTGTAATTTAAATAATCTCAGTGCTCTTACGAATTTGTTAATGTGAGGAAGTCAGTCAGGACAAATGCAAAAGCACACATAAGGCTTGATCTTCATCACTGGTGCAGATCCATAGAAAAATCTGGGGAGGAGCCATGCATTGCATTTTTTTTGGGGGGGGGGAGGGGGTACTGCATGGTCAATTGTAAAATAAAATCAGTAAGAGTACGCAAATATAGAACTTTTAGAGCTATCATGCAGTTCTTTAAATACCATTTTCTTTGCTATCTCCTCTTTTGGGAGTGAGGGTGGACTTTAGCGACCCCCCCCCCCCCATTTCCTGTGGATCTGCCTCTGCATCACAAGTATTGTTTGCTGTATAAATACCATTAGAGAAACTTTTTAATAAGTATAAAACAAGGAAATCTTTTCCTGATTGTGAATTGTGTACTATACATTTGCTAGACATCTTGGTGTATTTTTAGTCCAGTTCATTTTGTATGTATAGGTAGATTGGACAAAATAAAACATAACCAATGTACATTTGTGTTGTATTTGAAGTGTTGTAACTTGAACATGTTGTTAGACACACATTAGTGGCACACACGGAATGCATTGTGCATCTTGTAAACAATAGTTTACATTATACTAGTTGATTTCAAAATAGATGATAAACATACAAAATAGAATGTCTAATAATAATCTAAATGATAATATATATAATGATAGTGTTAATGATGGTTTTGGTGATAATAATGGTCAGGCCTGTAGCCAGGTTTCTCCAAAAGGGGGTTTCTCTGGGTATGGAGTCTAGGGGCAGGGGGGGGGAGAAAAGTCCCAGTGGGGTCAGCAATACCCCCAAAGCAAGAGGATTTTTGTGTTTTTTATGTGTTTAAATAATGCTATAAAAGCACTTATGTTTGAAAAAGAGTCTGGTTGGGTCTGCAGTGCATTAGTTTTGTTGAGGACTCAGAAAATTTGAGGGGGTTTGCGAGAAAAAAGAGTGGGGTTTGCTAGAAAAGGTGGTTTTTCCTGAACTATAAAAACCCGCCTAGGCTACGGGCCTAATGGTGATGATGATGGTGATGGTATAATGATGATGGTGATAGTAATATTGTAATGTCCGTACAATTTATCTCTATTGTACTTTTCACACTCGAAGATTCCTCTTCTGTAACATTCAAAATTCACGGAGAATGTAGAACTGATCTGATGTCGCGTTATACTCTTAGAAATTATATTATTGTTGGAAATTGAATAAAATAAAAATATAGGCCTGTACAGACACATCCAGGGATAACATATCGGAATATTCGTTTCATTCCGCCCTCAATATTTCGCTAGATAATTATTTGAAGAGCAATGCAAATATTAGTATAACTTCTAACAACTTATCAAGAGTTGTAATGCAACATCACATTACACCCTGAAGTGTAAGCACTAACCAACTTTTTTTAGAACAGCTCACGTCCTATGCTATACGTGTACACAGAAGAATATCGACCAAGCACAGTTAACATCAAATACAGCTTAAGTGATGAGGCTGCCTGGTCTGATTTTGCTCCTTTTCAGTCGATGCTTTGCTCAGCGTGATGATGGTACGTATATCATGCTAACGTTTGCTATTTTATAATTAAAGCTCTGTCCAGACTATCGAACACTGTTGTATGCCCATATATAGTCATGATGTACCTATATATGGTCATGATATGATGTCCTCATGACCAGATTTAGACAGGTCAAATAAAAGTTGATCATCTGATCAGGGCTTTAGAATTAGGATTTTTATATTCGAGGTAGGCCTACTCAATAAACCTTATTCATCATCCATATTTAGAATATTCATAAACACTGATATTTTGGATTATTTCCAAGGGTGACATATCCCTGCACAAAACAAATGCGCTAATTCAAAGAAACTCGTGAGACAAGTTGTCTTCTACTTAATTAAATTCCATATAGCAGAGGGATAGGAACTTTGCGGATATAAATCTGGTGCTCTACTTTGGTAAGGGGATTAGACCGTCCTGTCTTAAAGAGAACTGTTGGGAGGTGGGACACGGGAAGAGAAACGGAAAGTTAATTATTTTCAATTGATCAGCAAGAGGAAATAAATTGTCTACTGTTATGTCCGTGAGCTGAAGAACGCTTGCAATATCCAGACGAAATAATCAATTGCGGGATTATTAAACTAACATTTATTTGATTATTATAGATATGGAATTAAATATACTAGATATACCTAGGCTACTCATTTG